GTGGGACCAACCCAGCAGCACCCCAGCTGCTCTGTCCCAGGTGTACCCAAGTCAGCTGCTGCTGAAACTGATCAGGGGATGATTCCAGGAAGCCGGGGCAGAGAAGCTCTGCCTCAGGCTTCCTGGAGTCATCCGCTGGTCAGTAGCAGCAGCGGCTGAATCGGGGACAGCTGGGGTGCTGCTGGGTTGGTCCCGCAGCCCCGAGGGGCAGTGCTATGGGACCTATCCGGCAGCACTCCAGCTGTTCTGCCCTGGCTTCCTCGATTCGCCGCTGGTCAGTTTTAGTAGCCGCTGAATAGGGGAAGCTGGGGGAAGAGCAGCTCCAATGGTCCAGCTGCCCGGAGCACTTCCGGGTTCCTGATGGTGCCGGACCATCAGATGCCGGACCATCGGAGTTTTATTGTACTTATGATTCCACCTTACAAAGGGGTGTCCAGTCCCTCCTGACGCTACACTTCTATTTTCTGCCGGCTAGCTCGGTCAGAGCCAGCACAAGTATGTCTACTGGAGCTCGGAAGGACAGCTTACTGCTCCCAGGGCAGACAATACCCTCAGCCCTGAAGCCTGTTACACACTGAAGATTCTGATAGAAGCATCTCAGCATTTTCCACAGAAAGAAGCCTTATAAACTCAGGGCCCTGGGCAGCTGCTAGGCAAATGGGCCCTGGAAACAGGCTTCATGGGGAGCTGAACGGCCAGATGACCAGGGGGGACTAGTTGGAAGATGGAGAATGAACTTCAGCAGCTGAGAGGCAAAGCAGATCTGTGCAGAACCTCTATGGATGATTCTGCCTTTCTACTGCTAGAAGACCTCTTTAATCCTCCCATGCTCCCCAAAAGAGCCACAACACAGCCATGGGGAGGCAGGTCGCATGGAGATGGCTGCATAGGCCAGAGGTCAGGAGAAACAGGTGAGCTGCAGCAGGAAGGTGGACACATGAGGGACTGGGGAAGCAAGGTGTGGGGATAGTCAAGGAGCTGAGAAGATTAGAGATGACATCCCAGGGAGAAAGAGGAACCAAGCAATGAGAATGGGGATGGGGTCACACTGCAGCCTGGCTCTCTTGTTGGATGAGAGCAGGGGGGAAGAGAGACAGATATCACGTTCCCTGAGAGACAGACACTGAAAGGAAGCATCTTGTTACCATCAGATTTGTTTCTGAAATGCCCCACTATATCATCTGGCAGCTCCTACATATTACAAAGCTACGTCTACTCCACTTCTCTCTGGAACTTGTACACCGTCCCATGCCATTACAAAGTAAAGGACTTACCTGAGGACAAAAGACTGCCACTGCTGCCGCTGATAATTTTGCCTTTGCTTCCCATGTTGGCTAGTTTTGAAGTCTTCAGCGTTCCAGTTTCAGTCAGGTCAATAGCAATTTCACTCAGGCTTCTCGCAGCATGAATCTTGGACTGGGAACGGACACAGAGCTGTGTTTAAGTATCATGGAGCCATTCACTGTGCTTTAGTGCCACAGACACGAAGAATCATTTTACTTTGGCAGGAAACAGGCCCTCAAAAGTCCACTCAGATTATTTTCCAAGAATGCAAACCATTTGGCACTCGCATGCCCATACTGTCTATTGCCCTTGGCGTGTTTCAGAATATGGAGGCTAATCTCCTATTAAGATCTCTGCACTGCCAGAGACTCCCTTCCCTTAAACCAAAGAACCATGTCCAGAGAATGTGAATGTTAAGAGCTACAGTAAGAAACCACCAAAAATGCCAACATAATCAGCATCCTTCTTGCTGGGTAGTTTCAGTGCAGAAGCCACCCAGTGCCCACTAATCATTGGCTGCAGTTGGCTTTATATCTGGCCCCGAATTAGCACAAAGATTTACTTATTCTTCGGTGCAGTCCCTCTATAATAACGGGTGGGCACAGGGGTAGGATGGTCCACTGAGAGTGGCCACCCTGCGAAACGTGGAGGATTTTGACTAGCAACACAGTTATCAGCAGAGGTACTGGGTTAGCGGCATGAGTTGGGCTCACTTGAGGTCCCACTGCATTACTAGCTCTAGGGCCAGGACCCACCCATACTATGGATGGGCCCACTAGCTTGAGTTGAAAGTTCAAGCTAGAGATATTTGCATGTGGATTCGGGATGTTAAATTGTGTTTATTGCATAAATGTCAATCTGCTGAAATTTTCAGGGGATACATATTTACATGCTGGGGGGGATGCAGCAGTACAGAGGGGGAGGAAGGCAAGGGGAGCTGGTATGTGCGGGGAGCCAGCTTAAATTTCCAGCAGTTGCATGATTACTTAATTCAACACATTTTAACATTTCTACTGAGCACCTTAAGGTCTTTGACAGATTTATCCCCACAACACCCCTGGGAGACAGATAAGTGCTATTAACCCATTTTACAGAGGGGGAGCGAGGCACAGAGAGATTAAGAGACGAATGCTCAAAAGGCGCCTAGCCTCCTTCTGAGACTGGTCACGGTCACACATGATGGCCAGGGAAGAACTGAACCTCGATCTCTCAACATTTCGCTGAACCTCCCCACTACTGAGCTAGAGTGACCAGAGAGTAAGAATGAAAAATCAAGACTGGGCAGAGCAGGTAACAGACACATATATAAGACAAAGTCCCAAATACTGTGCCTGTCCCTATTTGGGATGTAAGCGACTAGTCGACTACCCAATAAGCATATCAGATAGCCGAGTAGTCACTTGACTAGTTGCTTCCCCCCCGGCCCTTGCTGCCTCTATCAGAGAGAGGCAGCAAGAGAGAAACAGGAGCTGGTACTGGGGGGAGCTGGCTTAAAAGCCTGTTCCCCCCGGCACCGTCTCTGTGGGGAACGGCGAGGCAGAGGCGTCCCTATTGTTGCACCTCTCTCTTTGAAATGTACATTTCAAAGGGAGAGGTGCAGGAGCAGGCACCTAAGCAGTCCCACTGCGCCTCTTCCTCTGAAATGTACAAGAGCCGCAGGCAGTTCTTGTACATTTCAAAGAGAGAGGCACAGCGGGATAGTGAGCGCCCCCTTTACAGACTAATCGAGTAGTCGATGGATTCCATCGACTACTTGATTAGTAGATTAATCGAAATTTAACATCTCTCGTCCCTAGAAAATTGGGACATTGAGCCTTCCACACCAACAGTACCTGTTATCACCTCAGGTCAGAGACATGGTGGGATCAGCCTTTCAGCATCTTGGCCTTGCTGTTTCGGGTCAAAACCAAGAATAACAACTTTTGAAAGTTCAATTTCAGTTTCAGTTGGTGGGTCAGGTGGCTTCTTATTGTGTCTGAACTGACTGTCCAGTCACTGGCCAGGACCTGCATAGCATTTGGCTATCTATCTACTACAGGTTGAACCTCTCGAATCTGGCACCCTCAGGACCTGACCAGTGCTGAACCAGAGAATTTGCTGAACCACGGGAGGTTGTCTAGCAGAATTGCCAACACTTCCACTGCTTACTGGGCTCTCAGAAGACATTTAGGGGTAAATTAGAGCTAAGTAATAGCACAGAACACTGAAAGCCAGGACTGGTGGCTCTGAACAAACTTTAGGGACTGCAGGAAACTTGAAAGTTAGGCACTAGCCCCCTGCTTCTGCCCCCACCCCGCTTTGGCCAGACCCCACTAGCTCCCTGCTCCTGCCCCCTCTTCCCCTTTTGATAGACACCCACCCACCCGCACCGTGCTGCTGCACCCTCCCTCCGACCAGACACCTACACCCAGCTTGCTCCTGCACCCTACCTCCCACCCAGATTCTGCAACCCCACCCGTATCCCACTCACTGACTGCTCTGTCCTGCACACTGGACCCCTCATTTTGGCTCCACCCCAGAGCCTAGGGGGCCTCCACACAATCCGCTAACCCTGGAACCCCAGAAAAGTTAATCTGGCCTGAGGCTTTGAACCTCAGTCCTCTATGTCTACCTCCCTGGGGCTGGAGCACCAGGAGAGTGAGGGGTCTCAGTTGGGGGCCACATCAGAGAGGGTTGGATGTTTCGGGAGGGTTTGGGTTTTTTTTGCTTCTCACTTGTGTGGTCTCCAGCTAATTTTTCTGTGGGACAGTGGCCCCTGACCATAAAAGGTTCCTCACCTTTGCCACAAATAAAGGCACTGTTGAAACTTTGTGTGTTGGACATAATATTTTACTTTATTTAAAAATGAAACCTGGCCAAACAGCCCCCAATTGGAGCCCAGCCCCTATCTGGCCACAGTATTGTAACACTCCTGCACCACCACACACGTACCAACCCTGAGCCCATCACACACCTGAACCCCCTGCCCTGAGCCTCTCATACCCATACATCCCCAAACTCCTGCACCCCCACATCCTCATCCCCATCATAAGACTGACAGAAGACAGCCTGAATGCATGCATGAAGCTGGATTTGACCAGTTATGATGTAAACTTCAAAGAAATGTGCAAAAAGATGTAGCAGCAGAAGTCCCATTAAATAAAGCCTGTGAGTACAATGTTTCATTGATGCTACTATATCATCATGTCAATTATCAGTAATATTACGATGTACATTTTCAGTCATGCAAATGGGCATTTTATACGGCTCCTTGCTGGCCACTTGTTCTGAAATTTGATGTTTAGCTCTTTGATTCGAAAAGGCTGCTGACCCCTGATCTAGTGACTTCTTAAGCCTCCTATTGCATGTGCCGCTTGTATTTGTATTTCAACTTCAGTGAGAAGCACGGTGGTCAAATACACCCATCTCCAGGGTGTCTGTCAGACTGCGCATTGGCTAATGTACTTATAGAACAATGCTGAGCAGGGGCAGTAATACTGGATATTACAGTCTCTTTAGGCAGCAGTGAGGTCAAGGACAGAAACAGTGTAGAAACTAAGCCTGTCTTTTCTAGAAGTGTTCCCTCTACGTACATTAGTAGACAATAGACCTGATCTAAAGCCCATTAAAGTTAACAGGAGTCTGACCTCAATGGGTTTTGGTCAGGATCTTCCCTGGGGAAGCTTGCACTGCCTGTCCTCAGTTGTATTTGCCTTGCTGTTGTCTGAATGAGTAGTGGACTGCAGACTCCAGGAACTTTTGAATACACACACGTTTCCAGCAATAAGCATGGCTGGCGTGCCAATAATGACGCCAATTAACGTAGGGGGGTTTTGTGCTTTGGATAGTGGTTCACTGGGAACAGGAAGCAAACCAATTAACTCATTTCACAGAGGCCAATAACCAGCTCGCTATGAGATAGGGGCTGGATTTGTATAGGCAGCACAGCACTAAGCGGCTAGATTATATCCTGTTACTACTCCCCTGGGTCATTCAGTCCCCCGGTTTGGAAAATTTTTAAAGAAATCACTGACTTGGCAAGTCTGGTTTTTTATTTTTAGTGGGGGAGGGAGATTTGCTCATTTGGGATTAGTTTCAAAGCAGTTTTTTTACTCAGTGGTGCCAGTCCAATGAGGTCAGATATTCTTTGGAAGCCTCAGCGACAGGAGGGATGGTCTGACACCAGGAATCACTTTGGCCTTCTCACTGAAAGATTTTGTGGTATGTGTGCTCCAACAGGTCATGGGGCACCCCCCCCAAGTGCCTAAGGCCTGGGGCCAACCTGCACCCCTGCTCTGCCAACAAGTCATTTGGAATCTCCCTCATCTTCTCTAGCAATTTAACTCATTTAAGCTCCATGCAACTGGAGAGAATTCAAGAGCATCCCTGCTATTGGAGAGTCCTACAAAAACAAGTCTCTGGAGGCCAATAGGGCAAAGATTTTTCTGACAGGGTGTAATCACCAGTGCTTACTCTTTGCCTTGCTGTGACTGCCTACACTGTGCAGAAACAAATAGGGCACCCGGAAGCGTTCATTCAAGGAGATGAACGTCTTGTAAGTTTCCACACTCTGCTTGAATTCCAGAACAGAGCAGATAGAAACGGCAGCACTGAGAGTTCAAAGTCTTCTCCAACTGGCAACGTGCTCAATTGCATGTAAGGTTGTGAACATTTGCTATGGGTTGGTTTTGCTGCAAGATGGTCGAAACCAATGCACATTATTTATTTTATTTTCTAAATCCAGCAGGTTGACTTTGTGGGCAGAACTGTGTCAGGTATCACAACAACATAGGAAAGGATGCAGGACTTACTTAGTTTCAAGTTTTGTTATAAACTCAGCATTCAAGCCTGGTTTTCCAGAATGCATTGAGTCCTGCAGGGCATCTAAATTTCATCTCAATCATTAGCACCAATCTGGGTTCATTTTGTGAGCAAGCTTCAGCAGCTTTATTGTCTTTTGTCAAAGCCATGTGAAGTGGCACGTACTGATGCAAAACCAGGGAGATTTGTACCTTCTGCTTTGGGATTAATCTAAAGCAGCAACGCTACAGAGTGAATTTAAAGGGGCACAAACCCATGTTAATTGAAAAAATATCTGCACAAACCCTTAAGAACTGAAGCCATCAAGTACCTCAACACTTTATAGACTGTCAGCTCTGGATTTCAAAAAATAAACACACCCAGGACAACAGATCAGCAGGACTAATCAAGCAGATCAAGGAAACTTAAAATGAGCCCAGCAGAGCAGTTTACCCATCAATCTTGGCAGCATCCCTTAAAGACGGGGCCAACAGACTAAAATCCCAAGTCTTTCAGAGAAAAGGACTAAAATATTTGTCTCTCTCAACATCAAAACAATAGGAGGGCGGCTGGGATTATTCTGACAAAGCATTCTGACAGGGTCACAAACATGACTGATTGACTGATGATGGCGGGTAAGGGGTGCTGCCTGTGGGCGTGAGAGAGAGATCAGATGTGTACTCACAATCTGAAACACAATCTGCTGGCAACAAAAGAAGCGAACCACTTTCCTGACCCTTAAAAACCCCCCTCCCACCAAGAGGAGGGGAACAGGCTTTTGTTTTTTGATCCATTTGTGATTTTTAAAAAGCTTAGACACATTGAAACTCCCCAGGGCTCTAACATCCCAGGCTATCTGCAGGTTTCTCTCATTCACAGCTGCTTAGGGAGGTAAGGAAACTGCCTGTTGCCCATACGTGTAGAATAGTGATAGAGATGCAGCCCTGTTAGTCTGGCATAGCTGAAACAAAAGACAGAACTATGTAGCACTTTAAAGACTAACGAGATGGTTTATTAGGTGATGAGCTTTCGTGGCCCAGACCCACTTAGGAAGTGGGGCTGGCCCAAGAAAGCTCATCACCTAATAAACCATCTTGTTAGTCTTTAAAGTGCTACATAGTTCTGTCTTTTGCTGCCATACTGTCCACCTGGAAGCCCAAAGCTTTAGTGTAGGGGAGGGGAGGCTGGATGTGGCCCCCAGCTTGCCTGGGATCCAGCCCCTAAGGCATGGGGCTCCCCCAAGCATTGGGGAGCCCAAGCTGGTGCTCCAGCTCCCCCACTTCCTCCCCATGGAACTGAATCACACAAAAATCTACTAAACTGGGCCTCCCTACTGCTCTGGTGTGTGAGGGAAAAGTGGGAAGCGGGAAGCGTCTTTCTCCTTCTCAGTCAGGGGCCACATCAGTGAGGGTTGGGATTTTTTTGCTTCTCATTTGTATGTGGCCCCTGATCGATTTTCCTGTGGGTCAGCAGCCCCCAACCCAAAAAAGGTTCCCCACCTTCGCTTTAGTGCTAGAAATGGGGGAAATAAATCCAAAAGATGAAAGGACTGAGCACATCTCACTGGATATAGGGTGCAAAGTAGGGATGTAAGCTGTTAACCAGTGCTTACCAGTTCCAGTTAACTGGGGGGTCTAGAGCAGTTCCCCACCCACTGTGGGCAGGGGCGATGCTCCAATCCCGTGGGGCCCAACACAGTCAGGGACTGCTCTGGGCATCTGGAGTAGCCCCTGTCTTTAATAGGCCTGGGTGTGTTGCAGGCAGGGGCACAGGCCCTCTCTGTAGTAGGCCCAGGGTGGGCCATAGGCAGAGGTTGCTCCAGCTGGGCTACAGCAGCCTCTGCCTATCAGGGAGGGCTGCTCCAGCCTGGCCACAGTGGCAGCCCCTGTGCGTAGCAGCCTGACTGCGACGGGGGCCGCTCTAGCCTGAGCCCAGTCCTGACCACCCCAGCCAACCCTTTAATTGGTTAAACATCGTGTTTGTGTAACATACATGCCTAGTGGGCGTGGTTCAGTGTCCAATGTAGTGGCACTTACGCCACGTACAGCCAGAGACAAGAAGGAGTGAGCTCTACAGACTAAGCTGGGAGCCAACTGGCTTTATAGCTCAAGCTGTAGAGACTCCTATAGTAACCTCCAGAGGTCCCAGGTTCAAGTCCATCTGCAAGCAGTTATAAGTGGTAGAGAATGCGGGCAGACAATAGGGCTATGTCTACACTGGCGCGATCTTGCGCCAGAGCTATGCAAATGCTTGCCAGCCGTGCAGATCACCTGAACCCAGCTCTTCCGGGTTGCAATCTATTCACCAGGGGCAAGTAGATTGCATTATTTGTTGAGCCCTCAAATGAGGCTAAGCGTGGACTATCGCCGAGCCTCATTTGCAGATCTAATGAGCCGCCATTTTTGCGGAAGAGGCTCTTGCGCAAGGAGCTGTCTCCGCTGCCCCTTCTTGTGCAAGAAAAACCCTGTTGCGCAATGCCATTATTCCTGAAAATAATCAGCATAACAGCATTGGGCAAGAGGGTTTTTCTTGCACAAGAAGGGGTAGCGTAGACAGCTCCTTCTTGCGCAAGAGCCTCTTCGGCAAAAATGGCGGCTCGTTAGATATTCAAATGAGGCTCAGTGATATTCCACGCTTAGCCTCATTTGCATAGCTCTGGCGCAAGATCACGCCAGTGTAGACATAGCCTAGGTGTGTGGGTTACACTGGCACTATAGTTAACTGATTAACCAATTACATGGGATTTTACAACCCTACTCAGAGCCAGAGCACTCAGCTTCATGCAGCTCCCCACTGGGAACACAGCTGCCCCCTGGGACTTCTCATCTCAGGCTTCCAGCCAGGAGTGGGAAGCTGCCTAGGTCTCTTGCCTACAGTACTGTGACCAGAGCTGACCTGTCTATAAGACAATTCGGGGCAGCAGCCACGGGGTCCCCCAAAGCATGGAGCTCAGGGAAGCCACCCTGAACCATTCTACGGATGAGATGGCTCTGCCCCTAAGAAAGCATGACTGTAGCACCATAGAACTGGCAAGGAGTAAAACTCAGAGAGGTGTAGAACTGAGAGAACCTTTAACTGATTTATTTGAAATGGCTCTGACTTCATGGTGGTGTCCCTTTGAGAAATGGGGCATTCACAGAAACAATATGGAGAGGAACTCAATCCTATTGGGCTGTTCTGCCCCAGATCCCAGCTGATACACCTCTGGGGAAATCAAACTCCTTTGTTCTGGTACAAATGGAGAGATATTTAAGCCATTCCACTCTCACTTTGTTAGAAGCATGGAATGAGGACAGCCCAGGGAAACCCACGGGCTGGAAAAACGGTAAGTGAGCGGGAGCCACATACAGCACACTCACCTTCCAGCAAACATCTTACCTTACTCTGCTTTCTGTCCAAGTAGAACTGGTGTTGGCTAATGGCCATAGCCCAAATGGACTTGATCAGTGCAGGACAGGCGTACCATGTGTGCACAGCAATGCCACTGTGTCCAAACGTCCTCCTGGTCACAGACGCCCTAGACAAGAGGAAAGAAGGAGCAGTGTTTATACCAGTGTTTCCTCCGACTCTAAAAAGAGAAGAAAAAACCAACCAAAGGTCAGAAAAAAACCCTCAAGGCCTGTGCCGAAAAAGCTGCTCTCGTTACTCTGGGTTAAGGGAATAATCACAGAAGGAAAATGATGGCCACATACACTAACTGAGTCTTTATCTTAGACTAGACACCAACCTGTAAGCAGCAAAAGCACTACCACAACAGTATCTCAGGGTAATGCGGTCTAGTGGACAGAGTGTGGACTGGTGTCAGGACAACTGGGTTCTCTTCCAAGCTCTGCTGTCAATGCACTGCACATCCTAGGAAGGTCACTACATCCCAAGCTTTTTAACGTGTATGTCTCCATCTTCCTTGGACATAAGATTTGGATCGAGAAGTCCAATAACTGCCCCTCCCTGACACTTTGGAGAAAGACAAAAAATCCTACTTGGACAGGTAAAGGGACCCCTTTCCCTGATTCTGGCTGAGTGTAGTGAGAGAGACCAGCATGGAAATGGCTGGCCATACTAGAATATAGGATGATACAGAAACCTGATACCAACTGTCATGGACTTTTGCCTGTGGGTCAGGAAGGGTGCTGCCGTGCAAAGCAAGGTGCTTGTCAGGGATGCCGTAGCAGGGGTGTCAATGCACAGGGCATGCAGTGAGAAGGTAGACAAGGGACAGCAGGAGAATCCATCTCTGATGCCCAAAGGGAATAACATTCCCTGCTGAAGTGCAGTTTGCTCCCCTCTCCCCATTTCCCCTCCCTCCCAACTCTGACCCTTCCCTTCCCTCCTCTCTTGGTTACAGTTTTAAGTGTCTTCATTGTTCTATGTTCACTTGCAATTAAATGCTAAACTTGTCATAGTTCAAGTGCTGCCGATTTAATTTCTTTTTGTGCACGCGGGAGCTAGAGAAGTCGGCATAGGAAAAGCCAAACTGCAAAAGAAAGTTGAAATGAAGTCAAGAGCAATTATGTGGGGGAGACCCAAACCCCTGCAGATCCAGAACTGAAACTGCCAGCCCAGGCTTGGCTTTGGAGACCACGGCAACTGACGTGTCTGGGACCATTTCAACTGCACATTTTTATTAGAACCAAATCAGAAGCATTGAACAATGTGGGATTAAAAGTTTTCCAACTAATCATGCAGATTAAAAGGCACATGGTGACAGTTATGAATCCAGTGAAACGTAATGAGGGGGAAGGCTGAAGACTCAAGAGGGGTGAGAAGAAACAGCACAATCCAGGAGCCAGGTGAAAGGCTGTGACTCTTGGTATCATGTTTCGGTGTTATCCTATATTCCAGTGTTCTCAGTCTCTCCCATATTGGCCCCTCTCCCCCGCTCCTGCACAGAGCAGAGAGCTAGCAAGACATGCCATCTCATTCAGCAGTATGGTGACAAACCCTGCACACCAGCTCAGGAGTCTCTGGGAGTTGAAACATCCAGAGTTGAGAGCTCCTCCTACAACTGTTGTAGCTTTATAGTTTAGCACCTTGCGCCCACACACACTGGATGCTCCTGCTAGTCTAGTAATGCAAAGCAGCCAAGGCATACTGGTCAATCAGGTCCCTGATACCAGGGCCCAGTTCAGCAAGGTACTTAAGCTTAATTCTAAGCATTGAGTAGTTCTATTGAGGTCAGAGTTATAGCAGATTAGGGTTGGGAGAGACCTAGAAGATTATCTAAGTTCCACCCTCTGCTCAAATCATCCCAGCCAGGGCTCTGTCAAGCCAAGCCTTAAAAACCTCTAAGGATGGAAATTCTACCACTTCCCTAGGAGGAAACCCATTCCAGTGCTTCACCACCCTCCTAGTGAAATAATTTTTCCTAATATTCAACCAAGACCTCCCCCACTGCAACTTGAGTCCGTTACTTCTTGTTCTGTCATCTGCCACCACTGAGAAGAGCCTCTTGCCATCGTTTTTGGAACCCCCCTTCAGGAAATTGAAGGCTACTATCAAGTCCCCCTCCTCACTCTTCTCTTCTGTAGACTAAATAAGTTCCCTCAACCTCTCCTCATAAGTCGTGTGGTTCCCTCCCCAGCCTGCCAATCATTTTCATTGTCTTCTGACGGACAGTCTCCAGTTTGCCCGCATCCATTCCGTCGTGGGAGGGCCCAAAACTGGACACACTACTCCAGATGTGGCCTCACCAGTGCTGAACAGAGGGGAAGAATCACTTCCCTCACCGCGGGAGCAGGCCACAGGACAAGCCCTCCCTGCTCCAGACCCTGCCTCTGCTCCACCCCCACTGCACCCCTTCCCCCAAGCAACATGGGCCCAGGGGCTTACTGGGGGGAGGCCTGGTGCCAGCATCATGGGTCACCCCCTCACAGTAGCAGTGGTAGCTCACCCGCTGCAGTGAAGCAGAGCAACCCAACTGGGAGATGGCAGAGCACAGTGGGCTGGGGCTGGATCATACCCCTTCCTATGGCTCCTGCCATTGCTGCTCCTCCCCCCACCCTGAGCTATAATCCCACAGGCTGCCCTGGGCCCCCCAAACTCGCAGGCCTGATACAGCTGCCCCAAGCCATCCTATGGGCAGAAGAGCTCTGTCCCTTGATCTCCTGGCAATGCTCCTATGAATGCAGCTCAATATGCCGTTAAGCCTTCTTGGCAAGAAAGGCAACTGTTGGCTCATATCCAGCTTCTTGTTTACTGTAATCCTCAGGTCCCTTCCTGCAGAACTGCCACTTAGCCGGAGCTTTGACCTCTTGGAAATCTCTTCCTCAAATGATTCTTCTAATCTCTTCCTCCTCTTACTGTAAATGACAGCAGTTCACATTGCTCTAGTGACATCAATCCTAGGAGCTCAAACCTTTACAATTATGAACAAACTAGCCCTTTTAATCCTTCTCCCTCCCGGCCCATATTCCCAATCAACAGATGAGGAAACTGAGCATTGCCCAGAACAGGAGGGCTTGTGTAGGGCTAGGACTACAACCCATGAATTTTGGCTTCCAGCCCTGTGCATTAACCACTAACCCACGCCCCTCCTATCTTACTCAGCAGCCTGTAGCGTGGATAAGCTGACTCAGACGCTGGTTTGAACTGATTCAAAAGAAATGCTGAGCACTGTTCGGGCCTTGTCTCCACCCGCACAGACTGCGCAATTCAGCATGAAAGTCCATCCCATTTGGCCAGGAGACTAAAATCTGAAATATGTTCCTTCAGGAGCCAGGACTCCCAGTTACTGTTTTACACTAGAAGTGGCAGTTTGATACAGGGCATTTGAATTAAACATGGGCCGTCTGGCTTATGTATTCCACACAGTTCTATTCTACCCAGTGAGAAATGAACAGAGTAAAAATAATTCGCACAATACAGTGCCTAGTCCACATGGAATATAGGAATGGCATTTATACAACCCAATAAGGCTACAGGGATAAGAATGGGGAGGTTTTCCATGTCAGAGATCCAAACCACCTAAAATCAGATTACCAGCAGTTTGGGAGAGGAGCGGCTTGCACACATATAAGGGATGACCATCTTTTCCTGCATGCTGCTCAGTTGTAAATGTAATTGTCTTCATGTCTCGTAACTACTTGCCTTCCCTCCTGGATTGTTCTTTGGTTGCTTCTGATTAGACCTAACTGATCCATTCTGCTTTACAGTCTAGAGTGTCAGTAGATCTTTGATTTGTCTGGATTCGAGTCCCAAACTGGAGAGATTCAATTCTATTAGCCCAGGTGACAGATACAGCATGTCCCTGCAAAATCTCTGGGGGAATCTCACTATGGTTTGTGTAGTGAGTCAGGGATTGTAGGCTACTTCATGGGGAAGGGTGACCAGAGTTCCTCCAGGAACTAAGAACCGTGTGGGGGGTGATTAAGCCGTTTTATGGAGGTTGTAACACTTCCAGAGAGGATGGAGCATGCTGGTTCAAACTGGTTTCTCCAGAGACCAGCATAGATATGGGAACTGGGAATGCTGCAGCATCCCCTGGATTAGTGCGGCATCCAGGTTGCCAGCCCCGTGCTGGGGGTCCTAGAGTTCCTGGCCCCAGGTCCGGGGCTCTGCTCCTGGCCCTATACTTGGGGTCCCAGCTACCACTGACCCTGCACTCATGGCTCTGCTTCCAGCCTCAGCCTCCTTACCCCTGTCTGTGTCTCCACCCCCCACTGAGCTATAGCTTGGTCCTGGTCCCAGCTCTGGAGAGAGGGTCACAGACGGGAGTGGGTGGGGGAGGTCCTAAGATAATTAGTTTGGGGACCACTAGCTTTCAGCACCCCCACTGTAAAAAATGCTCCAATGTCACTGGAGACCAGCAGCCAAAGAAGGGACTTTTGGATCAACAACCTGAGTTTAAACTAAGGGTACGTCTAAACTACGTTATTTTTTCAAAAGAGGATATGCAAATTCTGTGCATCCCCTCCCACTCCACTCCAGACCCCTCATAGCCCCCCCCTTCTGATAGTCCGGCATAGCTGATAATCCGGCACCCCCTGGGTCCTAAAGGTGCCAGATTATCGGAAGTTTCCTGTATTTTCTTTCGAAAGACCTGCTTTTGAAAAAGCGATC